GACCAGTCCTTGTTTGAGCCCCTTAATGCCGAGCGTCAGACAGGGGTATTGAGTTTAAGACCATTTTGAGTGGCATTTCAGTAATAACAGAATAATTAGGGAGGAATATCCTGTGACGCAGGTCGTTGATGGTAAGCCACGAGTGTGGGTATGGCGCTACAAAGCAAGGATCATGGGAATCGGGGCTTCAAACCTACAATCAGCAGATCCTGGCTAAGGGACACAACTCTATACGGCGAATTGTTGCTTCTTCTACCACTTACCAATTCGATCCCAAATGAACACGATAATGCGCTAAAGATAATATAATGACGGCATCTTCTACAGGTTTGAACTGCAATCCGTCCACAATCCGTTGAAGATGTACATACTGGACTTATTGGATATTGGTTACATTTTAGCAGTTACGGACGAGGCAGTGGATCGGACCCCCGAGTTTGCGCTCCACTGGCAGACGCTCTACCACTAGACCACGGAGGCTGTCTCACGGACTGTGACATACATGATACTATAATTATAGTAAATCAATGATTAACGCCGTTTCAGAAATACTGTAGTGAATGAATGTCGTTTCATGTCACAACCAGCATTATTCGAGCTATAAGAACTGCCCGGTAAAAGAAAATATACACTTGAAAATTAGATTTGATTAAATAACAAATTACAAAACGTTACAAGACTGAAAACAGTCCCCGAAATACTGCAAACGTAAGGTCCAAAACACAACTATGATACCTGTATCAAAAACATCACAATCGAATAATCATTTCTTGTTTGTTTCGTTTAGCTCCATCAAACAATGGTGTATACTTTCTTTTGTCCGTCAGTTTATGTGGAGTATATGGTAAAATAACTTGAACAATAAGATTGGAGCAGATTGGCGGTAAACCATGCCGATATGATGCAATATATTATGTCGTTCATACGCCGCCATTGTAACCAATCCATCCTCATTTCAAGAAATAGTAAGACTATGGGGTAGAACGATGCTCATGATGTCAATCACTGGATTGTCTGATCCAGACTCAATTATTTACAGAATATAAATATTGGAATATTGCTGAGTGCGGCGTTAAACAACAAACAAACAAACAAAACTTAAATCTAATATGTCAGAATGAGTATACTTGTACAGTGTTTTATACACACTAAACATTTATTAACTCGGGGTTAGGCAGGGACAACGCAGAAATGAGTTACTAATGTACTCATTTTCACACCCACATTTTCAAGTCAAAACTCCATGTATGTTTGGTCTGTAAATTTACTTGAGTGTAAAACACGACGGGCTGTGTGTACATGTTTTTGCTTTCTCCGAAGTAGCTTCCATGACATGTCTCTACTTAACTTTATGCTTAGCCGTCACTGACATCAGGGCCAACTCTCATCTTTCTGTAAATCTCACGTGACTGTGCGAGACTACAGCACGTGCTGTGACGTCGTGTCTGGGCACTATCATCACGTGACCTGGTAAACAGCGTTCCCCGAGGCCATTCAGCAGTGGGTTTTGCATGTGCCGGTTGCTCGTGAAAGGTTCCTGCTAAAGGTTGTCAAACATCAATGAAATTCCCCAACCAATTTCCAAAAGTCATATTTGTTTTGAAAATCTTTAAGAAAATACGTGTACCTGCGCAATCAGGGTTTGTTTTTTAAAGGTGTAAGCCCATACCATCAGTCATCCAGTGCTGGTCAGAAGGGTTGTCTGGATGACGTCATCTACTGGCTTTCTGTGCAATCATTTGAGCACAAGGTGCCTAGCTGTCTATTTTGGTGTGCAATTGATTAAATATTTCAGAATATTTTGTTTTATGGTTACGTAACGAGGAGCGAATGTCTAGATGGACAAAGTGATGATTACATATATTTGAATATGTACTGTTACCAGGTACAGTCATGTCCCGTTAATCCGACATTGTTGGTTGCATATGATTATGTCGGATTAACGAGTATGTCGGATAAACGAAATTAGGTAGTATCAATGTTCGTGATCGAAAATTGGACAACTACACGATAGATAATGATACGAAAAAGGAAAAAGGAAATAATCATATTGTTGTGTTACATTGTTAGCAGAATATGTTTTATAATCATGCAACTCTAAAGTTTGACACAAAACTACTGTTACGGACTGTATGACTGATTCAAAATACTTTTTAAAGCATAGTCTGGAATGGAAGTCGTTAATTTGAAACAAGTGCCGCAATGCTCAAGACAGCAGCTTTTTTAGTGGTTCTTTAGGTGTGTCGGAGTCGGAGTGCGAGACTGTCGGATTAACGGGTCTAAATAGCACTGATTAAATTGGTTCCCATCATTTGTGTCGGATAAAGCCGATTGTCGGATACACGAGTGTCGGATTAACGAGACTGTATGTCACTTGCAAGTTTTACAAATGTCTGATGTACAACGCACGTTGCATTGTATTGATGTAAGTCAGTGGAAAATATTGTCTCGTGGTCGATGAATCCTCTATTCTGCAGTTTGATTTGTGTGTGTGTGTGTGTGTGTATGTGTGTGTGCGTGTGCGTGTGTGCGTGTGTGTGTGTATGCGTGCGTGCATCGATAACCCTCAAATACTGGAATCGATCTATACATGTTCAGCACAGACATCTCGATATCCTCAGCTTCGAGTAACAACGATATAACATAGATAGATTGTTAGATGTTAGATTTGATTTGAAAATGGGTTCGATATATACATGGATCTCAGGTACATATTGATATAGCACTTCGACTTAATGCTTCGAAACACGCGACAATGGGGTACTGCTGCCAGGGAGTTGTATTCATATAAATGCAGTAAACTACGCTTATAACGAACTCAAAGGGTCCACTAATTTTATTTCGTTATAACCGTAGTTCGTTATAAGCATATATACAGCAAAAGGCCGGGACAAAAAAACCAGTTCGTTATATCCGTCTGTTCGTTAGAAGCACGTTCGTCACAAACGTAGTTTACTGTAGTAACATATACATATTTTCATTACGACGGAATACACATTTACATCGCAACAGCTACAGCATGAAAAAAACAGACAGGCTTATATTTGCACATTAATGTATTTTACTTCTATAACGCACCGTCACATTGGTTTGCACCTTTGTACCATATTCAAACATTCCCACAGCAGGCGAGCGGTGCACGGCGTCAACACGCTCTTCCTACGCACTCTCCGGCCAACGCACTCCCCTCCTGGGTCCTGGTGATGAGGATAATTGGTTTCCACCTGTATCTCCCCGCAGGTGTGACAACTCATCATATATTCCCCCTAACACGTGACACGTGAGATCAAACGCCGCTCAAGCCGAAACCCTGTCCCCGGAGCACGAGCCGTGAATCATAGTAATTCCCGCCAATTTAAAACTCCACTTTATCAGGTGTTAAGGGAAGGACCGAAGACAAGGTGTCATAGATCATATTTCATGTTCGCATATGTTGGAAACAGCTCCAAAACATGACGCGTCTTTCAAACGTACTATGGGTTAGGTTCCATATGGTTAATCTGAACACGTACCGTCTCAGAATGAGACACTATGTTCACAATCGTATGTTTACACTTACTTCTATTGTTAATATAGAATATTAACCTGCTGATTTTCTCTTAGGTCGATTTTCCAAAACGTTTTGTCATTAAAAAAATATGACATAAAATTTAGTGTAAGATAAATATTTAGCTTTTTCTTCGCGAATTTGAAGAATGTGGGAACTTTGTTGTTTTTTAATATACTGTTGACTGAGTACTGTGTTTGTGTGTTCCGTGAATAGTAACCGATACAGCCACCCTCCTTCACTGCCATTCTTCCGCCTTTGAAGCCTGGTATAAATGTTCTATGTAATGTAATAACTATCCAGTACAATCACCTCACAGCGGCCCAGAGGAATGCGAGCGGGCAATGATAGCGACATAACTGGTGTATCGCGGTATATATACCTGACTGTGTATGAGAGACTTGGAGCGCGTATAGACTGCTATTATAACTCTAACGGCTTTCATTCGAAGAAGGCGGCTTGGGGCTGAGATAAGGCGTCACAACTTTGAATAAGATTACCGGGGATTACCCGACAGGGTTGTACGAGAGCAGCCCCGGGTGTGGGGGACGGTCGAGGATACTGGCGTTTGATTTGGCCGACGCAGTGTGGACACAGTCCGTGTTGACTATAGGCTGACCGGTGAGGTGGACAGGCTATGCTGAAGCCCCACCCTGGGCTTGACCATCTCAACTGTATATCAACGGATGTTGTGATTCGATGGTATTACTTGTGTGTATTACGGTGTGGTCCTTGAAATTCAAATCGTTACAGCTGTGTGGTGTTGGTAGTGGCAGTAATTTGTGTCGTTTTGAGGATCATTTTTCTCCATCGTAACCCACGGGGTTCCACAAGGTGGTGTTTTTACACCCGAAGATTTGCCGGTTGGTGGCTGCATTGAGCAAGCGCAGTCAAGGTACGGTAATTGTCGGGTCTCGCAGCACGCACACACCTGAGAACAGAACGTGTGGTAGCTCGCGGGTGGGTGGGGGTCAGGTAGCACGTGCACTTATCCTCGAGTGTTGAGGGCACGCCTTCAGATGTTCAACGACATCACCTGGGGAAGGTCCCGTGTCCACGTAGGTATAGTGCAAGCTCGTACCTTTTGTTTCCCTCACCTACAGTGGAATTGGGGGTGGAGTTGAGGGAGGGGGTGGGGGTGGGGGGCGTGAGGGGGAGGGCAGGTGGCTCTACCCTTCGATACCCAGGAAGCCAGAGCATTCCTTTTTTATCACAAAGGAAACCCCTTGTGTATGATCACTCAAGTGGAATAAAATAGAATAATTGTTGCCGTGTCTAATCGATTTTGTTTTTTCATAATACTCATGATAATACGCTACGTTCACAGTTTCAAATTTCCTATACCCAAATGTCCTGGCGTGATCACCTGGCGTCGCTTATATATCGAGCCTCACTGTACACGGACACTGTTGTGTATCACTTCCCTCACATGTTCGTTCCCTTTGCCTTGCAGCAAACACAAGCGGAACTATCACAGTAAGGGCGGCTGTCAAGTCGCATCTCCACCGTTGACGTCGCAGTGAGAGGAGGTTGGTGGAGTCAGCAGTGTTACTGACATGTGAGTCGACAGCCAAGTGGATAACGCTGCAGTTTGCACAGCGACAGGGAGACGACATAACGGAGGTGTTTAATTACTCGACGCAGAGCGAGGTGGTGAGCAGGTGCCTTTGCTCCAGGTGTTGCGGAACTACCACAACGCCATTTATCGCTTGTGTTTGCACTAACACATGGGGATACATACCTTTCAATGACTATGGTTAAATGACTGTGCCTTAGGAACTGGAATTACAGACGTGGCTGGCAAAGGTTGATTAATGAGTCCCAGATTTCCATTTGTGAGGAACGTATATGAAGGTTCCTTGTAATACTGTGGATGTACCTCTCCGATACACGAATTCAGGTGACTATTTATTCGATACACAGCTCGATATATATATCTGGTAACTGACAACCTCGTCGTATTTCATAACCAAAGTGGACAAAGAGCTCGACGGGAAAGTAATAAACTACCTTGTCCTTATATTGGTGTACTCACAGTGTCTATCTCTGTGTGAAGTGAGTGTGGATCATGTGTGGATTATACCGAGGACAGATACTGGTTCCCCAATCCAAGTTTCACACATAACCATGGAG